GTAGCTTCATCGTCGTTACTAAGCGTATTGTACTTTCCTGTTTGTTGGAACTACTTGTGACAAGGATCTTCGTCATCCAGACCGAGTGATTTAAGGTCCACTTAATCAACGTATTCATCTAAAGTCATCATCGAAAGGCAAAATGCTGACTCATCAAATTTGACATTGCGAATGATCGCCACCTGCCCCGCAGCGATGCCATAAACTCGACACACCTTGAAAACTTATTCGTATCGCTGAAATAATCCAGCACGAGTCTCGAAATTCACTTGAATCGTTTTTCCTTCGAGGTCAGTATGTGCTTCTGACAGCCAAATACTCGCATGTGCTTGACACTTGGCTTATAATTGTAGGCAAGCTCGAAAGGAGTCTTGTGCGGGAACTTGGGCGATGGCACACGTTTCTTCACATAGATAGCTGTCATTGCCACTTCAGCCCAGCTATGTAACATCTGTTTATCATGGCAAGATGGAGCATGCCGCGACAGATTGATATGATAGTCCAAGTCGCACGTTCACAAGTTCCGTTTACTTGATGTGCATACGGAACCGTATTTGCTTCTCGATACCGTCTGCTGCGTTGAAGCTTTCACGCGTGTTGGTCGCAAACTCGCAGGCTTCATCGTGTTGCACAAACTTGACCTTTTTGCCAAATTGAATACGGATCACGTGATAAGCTTTTTGGCATATATTCACTCTTCGACTTGGCACGCAGACGAAACCCCTTCATGTAGCCGCTGGCTCCAACCACAATCAGCAGCAGATACTTGCCGTCACCATCAACTTCTCTTCCATGAGCACACAGATGCTGAAGTGAAGCATCTCAAAAGGTGCCACAGCTGCTCTTGTCGCGGTTGCTTGGAAACGTTTTTTAACCATCTCCTCTTCTTGACATCCTCAACCTAAACTTAGTCCAGTTAGCTTGACAGAGATTTTTGCGTCCTCGATCATATTGTTGGTTAACATCTTGCGGAGTAATTTGACTAGAGTATGGCCCATTTGCGCATGAATATTTAAAGCGCTGTCACTTGATGCCGCATTGGCCAATCTCTGCGCAGTGCAACGCCAGTCGAGTTTATCTACGAGGTCAGCAGCTGCCACTACTTAGTTGGAATCCTTGAAAGCGACATAAATCGTAGCCCTGTCAAATACCACTTGAAACTTGTCGTGCTAGTTAATCTGTGGCACTGAAAGCATTTTTTGCTAATGCTAGGCAGATATAGTGCTTTCTTCTCTCGATTTCGCGTTCTTCCCTGTTTGATAGGGTCACCTTTTTTTTAACGAAATCCTTCGCATCTATTGGCTGCCATGTTGCCATTAGCTACCAGGATCTCGCTATCATTGCCTTCAACCAAGCTTGCAACTTGTACTTGACGTGGCAGATGTTATTCGTTGCACCAATTTCTACGGCCCACATTCCTGATCCATCCTTGTTCGCCAAAACTCCACATTTGAACGAAACTGCAACCGATACTACATCGTAGATGCTGCCTTTCGCATAGTGTCGCCACTGAACGTTGTTTTCCTCGCTTCCACGACCATCGCTGCCACGTCTACGCTCGACCTTAATGATACGTCCAGTAACATTCTGTCGTCTGTCACACCTTGCCGCAATACGTGCGTCGGTATGGCTCGCGCTCGGTACTGAATGCATTTGTTACATCTCTATTTCTCACCGTTGTTGTTGCCGTCATCACCTTCTAGCCTTGTCGCTTTTTGTAATCATCCGTCAGCTCCTTGGTCAGATCTTACGTACGCAGCTCTACATTGCTCATCTTCAAGTTCAGAACCACGTTCTCAAAATTCTTCGGGAGACTGAGCAGCAAGCAGATCGCAAGGTCTTCATCTTCCATCTTGGCACCAATTCAGCTTAGCTTAGCGTCGTTGTTCAAGACTTCACTGCAATGGTGCAAGACTGGCGCCTTCCGACATCTTGATGCGGAATAGATGGCTCTTGAGGTAGATGTGTCCCGCCTTCTGCGACCCACCATAGAGCATCTTCAATAGTAACTACGCGACCATGCTTCTTCGTAGTCGTCGACCACATGGTGGTAGTCCGCGTCCATGTGAAGCAACATCAACCCGAACCGAATGCAATTTCGTCCACCTTAACGTATTCATCAAATGATCGCATGTCGGTGAATCTTGGTTTGTTTCACGGTTCCGACGTACCAGACTGACTTCTTCGGAAACACGCCGCGCATGAACGACACCAGGTTGCGTAGTTATATCCATCGATCTTACAAACGGAGACACTAGTCGAGGCGTCGCTGGAGAACATGGCCTTTGGACTTATAATCTGTCTCAACTTAAGCGAGATGTGAAGAGTAAACGAAGTGAAGAGCCCGGAGAGAACGGAGCGAAGAACACTCGTTCACTTAAGAGAGGAATCGAAATCGATCGATTGATCGGAGCTTTTTCTACCTACACATGATTTATATGTTCACACATATATATAAATTATGTGTGCGGCTGTTCACTCCCTGATGTATAGTAACCGCCTATAAATCAAGTAGATCTTCCTATCAATCTACACATCTGATCAACTTTAAGGTAATTACCGTCGTAAGAACTATGCCATAAGAACTTACCCTTGTAGATCTATTGTACCGGTAAACCCTCCATAAAGTCATACAAAGACGGTTATTCAAAGACTTATTGCTGCCCAATGGTTGAGCTGACTCCTTGCGCACGAAATACATACAGAAACACCGAGTAAAACTTGATAAGTGCTACCTTTTGTTGTCAGCGATAGAAATAGCAGATTACTGATCGTGCTTGGCACGAAGAGTGTGTCCTTAATTTTATCTTGCGCTATACTTCATAAAGTGATGTACCCCCGTACCTTTGATCGTAGCCTTGATTCCGCCAGCCACCGGTTCACCTTCTTCCTGCTCGTTATGTCATTGCACATCGGCCGTGATATTGCATTCTTTGATGCGTTGCGCTGCTGTTGACCACTTCATTTTTTAAAATGTTATTCCCGGTGGAGAATCAGCGTATCAGCAACATAGCCAATGCGGCTTGTTCAAAGTGGCTACAGTCTCTTCGTCCACTATTGTACTTTCTTAAGCCACTTCCAAGCGTCTTGGGCATGCTTGGTATAGCGCCATTCCAGAATTTGTGTCCATTTCTTGCACGACATGTACTGAGGAGGATCGCGTCGGCAATGATCACCTAAGCTGCGTCTTCAGCATGCATCTCGGCACGCTCGGCAATACCCGCCTGAGCCGCGTCTTCAGTATGCATCATGATAGTTTCGTTCGCTGCACAGGCAATGCTGCACGTCTACCAGCGCCTGAGCAACGCCCAGCACGCGTGCCGACGTTGCTTCTCTTCGAGTTGAGGAACGATGTTGTCATCGATCTTGTGGAGACTGTGCGACAAGCAGATCACCCCTTTTTTGTCCTCCGTCTTCGCAACAATGCTTTTACTAAGAAATCTGTTTATGGTAGAGAGCTGGGGCTACAATTCGAGCTTCAAGGTTAATTATTTATGGTATTGTTTTTGTGACGGTAATTAACTCATGATTGATCAGACGAGTAGACCGATTGGAAAGCCCACATGATTTATTAGTGGACCACATATAAATCAGGATTGAAGCAGAGAGAGATCCGATAGACCAATCACTTTCGAATCATCCTCCTTCCACACAAGTCGTCATCATTCGGTCCAGATTGCAAGAGCAGAATTTCTTTGCAAAACCTTAGGCATCAGTTTCAGCATATCTACGTATCAGCAGAGTAGATGCGGCTAACTTCTTTGATCCACCTTATGGCGCCGCCAGGTGACTAGAAGATATAGGCCCCCTCGCCATTCTCAGCCACGTTATGGTATGTTTGTAAAGAATTCAGTAATATCGTAAACACTATAGACGTTACTTGCACGCTGGATATAACAGGTTTTAAAGAGTCACAAGATATTAGGTGCTATTTAATACGATTTATATTAATTAATAGAGGTATTGAAAACCTGTTTAATCGGATATTTTTTTTGTTCACTGATCAGATGCGCATAGGAATGTATGATTTTTTTAATAAAATTAATTTTGTGCAACATGTAATAAGCACGTAGTAAACATTGTGCACGAAAAAAGAACGCTTTTTTTTGTCTGACTTTTTCTTTACAAAATCTGACTACACGTTTTGGTCAGCTCATCCGTGTCTGACCCCGTACTTCGCACAACCGCTACTGATCCTGTAAAACCAAGCTTTACATAGACTTAAGGGTAAAGACTAGAAGTCTGCCTTTGTGTGTAGATAACCAATAAACTAGCTTCGTGAGCACCGCAATACCTAGCGGTATGTCGAAGCGTAAGGTGCACTGATTCGATCAACAATTAGAGTCTGTGCCTTCATTCACAATGAAAGCGCTCAAAGTGAATAACGTATTCTTTATTTGTAAAGTTGTATAGTCGCCAAAGCAGTATGAATATGCTTTTTACACTTAAGCGTGTACCTTGTAATGTTATTGGGTAAAGTTGTTATGTGAGGCGTAATAAGAGCCTTGACAGATTTTGAATCCAAGCAGCCTGCATCATTTATGCGGTTACGAACTCTCACATCCGAATTACCCATTTGTAGACATTGAATGGATCCGATTACAGATTTTTTTACATTCGTAAATGTCATCTCAACTTTGTTCAAATCTTGCCCGCACATTAAAACAGTCAAAGCATAGTTAATTCACCATTAGTGATGTGATAGAGGAATAAGCACGAAGCATGGTAAAATCTTACGGCGTTCGCTATCATAAAAAAAACTAATCAGCATTAATGAGTAAGGTCAATAATAAATAGTGTTAGTACAATTAAAGTGATGTAAAGCTAAGAAGAAAGAACACCAATTTTTTCTGCCAAATGCCGCCAACTGCCTGTTCATGTGTCAATAGGTCCTCAGTGTAACGCCATGCGAGTTCTATCATTTATGTAGTTACCTTCCCTTTCAATGTGAGCCCCACTACGACCCGTTTGAGCTTCTACACATCGACAATTGTGGTCCAATGGAAGTCGACTCACTAGGTGGATGCAAGTACTTGCTACTGATCGTAGATGAAGGCAGCGGATGTATAAAGGGTTGCAGTCTGCGTGCCAAGTCCGAAAGCGAAGAGTGCATCAAGAAGTACAACTTGGTAGTACAGGCGCAGTTTAACTACAAGGTCAAGTTCGTTCGATACGATGGTGCACGAGAATTTGCGGCGAATTCGCTCAAGGCATTTTACAATGATCAAGAAATCGAGCAAAAGTTACCGTTTTATAAGCGCAACGGATCAGCGGCACGGTGGAACGGGCAATTCGGACCATTGTGACGATCGGGCGCAGCATGCTTCACTACGCCAAGCTGGACAAGTGTTTTTGGACTGAGCAGCAATGACGGCGATCTACATCAAAAATCGCCTACCATCGCCCAAGAGCCAAGATCAAAACCCGTTTGAGAGTGTCAACGGATTTCGACCAAGTGTAAAGCACCTGCGGGTTTTCGGCTGCCGAACGTTTGTGCTGACTCTAAGAAAAAAAGATCGAAATGGGATCCGAAGTCTCGTGAAGGATTCTTCATGGGGTACGAAGAAGTGTCAAAGGCATGTCGCGTTTACGACATTGAAGCGGACCAAGTGATGATATCTCGCGATGTCACATTCGACGAATCAACGCTTGGTTTCTCGCCGAGGCTACCACAAGAAATTGTTGATGACACTGCGCTGGATATCGAATCGATGAACATCAGCGATGAGCCTCACCCCATGCAGTTCAAGCAAACTGGAAAACGCAAAAGCCGTTCAAACAGTCAAGAACAAGTTCTACAACGGACACTTCTTGAGCGTCGTGGAACCGGGTTAGAAGAAGCAAGTGCCCCGGATGACTCTGAATCGCACCAAGCGAAGCGACGGTCAAGCGCTCGATTCAATCTGGACGAAGAACGAAAGAGCAGTGACGAAGATAACGAGGATGCTACACCTTAAGTCTTTTGGCGAGCGAGTGCCAATGCAGTCGAAGGTACTGACTTGTCTGAGCCGACAACGTTTGAAGATGCTGTTGGTGGACCAGATCAAGTGCATTGGCGTAAAGCAATCTGTGCCGAGTTGGACTAGATGAAACTTCGTGGCGTGTTTCGAGCGACCAAACTGCCATCTGGACAGCATACCATTGGCACTGTTGTAACTTGAGCGCGAGGCGAAGAGAAAACGAAGCGGAGAGACCGGAGAGAACGAAGCAGAGAACACTTGCTCACTTGAGGGAGGATTCGAAAGTGATTGATTTATAGGTCTTAACTTCTGCCTACCCTAGACTGCATCCAATCACATGGTGCATCTAATCAACCTGATTTACACGCGTCCAATCATCCTACGCGTCCAATCATCCTACGCGTCTAATCATCTCTGAGGTAATTACCGATGTAAAAACTATCTCGTAAGAACTACGCGCTAGGTTCGGATTGTACCGGTAACCCTCAATACGCCCCCTCAATCCGAACACGCACGGATGCCAAGCGCCGCCGTCAAGTCCTTGTGACGCGGTCCGTGAAGTCCCTTCGTCATGATGTCCGCCAACATCAACGTCGTCTCGCAGTATTCAAGCTTCACTTCGCCGCGCTTGACTTCATCACGGATGTGATGGTACTTGATGTCGATGTGTTTAGCGCGGCCGTGGTTGACCGGATTCTTCGTCATCTTGATGCACGACTGGTTGTCTTCACGGATGACGAGCTCGGGTCCTTCTTCGTTTGCAGCCGCCATGATCTCGCACAGCAAGCGATTGATCCACTTGCCTTCTTGGATCGCCAGGCTGAGCGCGATGTACTCCGCTTCGCTTGTAGACAGTGATACACTTGGCTGTTTCTTGCTGCCCCAACTCACCGGAGCACCCAATAGCATGAAGACGTAGCCGGACGTCGATTTGCGATCAGCAAGGTCACCGGCCCAGTCTGCATCTGAATAGCCACGAAAGTCGATCTTCGCACTTGGCTTGTAGCAGATTCCATGCATCTTGGTTCCTTGTAGGTAGCGAAAGATGCGTTTGACTGCAACCCAGTGTTCTTCTTGGGGTTTCTCCATGAACCGTGACACAAAGCTTACAGCATAGGCGATGTCCGGTCGCGTTGCAGTCATCAAATGCATCAAAGCACCCACTGCTTCACGGAATGGGACATCCACCTTGCTCGCAGAGTTGCTCGGAACCAGTCGAGAGCTGACGTCCACCGGACTTGCCACAGCCTTGCACTCATCCATTCCAAAGCGCTTGAGGACATCGTCGACATAACGGCGCTGACACATAGTCACGCTGCCATCTTCACCGTCCAATAACTCGATCCCAAGAACAAAGGCACACTTGCCGCTGTCCGTCATCTCGAAGCGTGTCTTGAGGTCGTTCTTGGTGCGCGCAATCATCTCGAGCGAGCTTCCAGTCACCAAGACATCGTCCACGTAGACCAGCACAAAAACACAATGGCCTTCCGAAGTCATGATGTAGAGACATGGATCGAATCCCGACGCTTGAAAACCAATCGAGCGTATGAACTCGTCGAAGGTCTCGTTCCAAACACGCGAGGCTTGCTTGAGACCGTAGATCGCCTTGATCAGCTCGAGACAGTCGTGTTGAAAAGACAGCGGCTGTGAAGAAGACACCTCGTCAAGCTGCGTCAAGTGTTGAAGCAAGTGGAAGACCAAGCTTCGCTATACCGGTGGGTACCGGTATGTACCAGTAAGGGCGAAGTCAGGAAATGACGTCACTGGATGACGTCATTGCATGACGTCAGTGGGTGACGTCAGTGGGTGACGTCACTGGATGACGTCACTGCGAATAATAGGCTTAGAGGTAGTATTCAAAGTTGCGAACTAAGTACCTATTATAAATATATATTCACTTTGCGTTTTGCACTCGGACCAAGAAGTCTAAAGTTCATCAAGTCGAAATCACCTTCCATCTTGACGCCTTCCGGAACAGCGCAGAACACCTTCTCCTTCATCACTCCATACAGGAACGCAGTCACCACATCGAGCTGGTCGAGGGGCCATCCAAAGTGCTTGGTAATGGCGATGACCATTCGCAGCGTCACATACTTGACCACGGGCGAGAACGTCTCCGTGTAGTCGATGCCATACTTTTGGCGAAAACCCTTGGCCACAAGTCGTGCCTTGTATTTCTCGATCGACCCATCCGCCTTGCGCTTGATCTTGAAGACCCACTTTGTGCCAATGGCGCTTTGTCCGTTGGGTAACTTGGCCGCACGAAAGACACCGCGAAGCTTCATCGAATCGAGCTCCGCATCAATTGCCTTGCGCCAGTGTACTTGGTCCGGGCCAGACACTGCTTCTTCAAATGTCGACGGCTCCGAAAAATCGACCGCTGCTTCGACGGCGTTTGCACTCGCATGCCAAAACGCGGAGGAAGTCGGTGTGTCATGTTGTTCCTCCGACTTCCTTTCTTCATCTTCGTTGGCTCGACGTGAAGAGAGGTCATCCGGCGCACTTGACTCTTCCAATCCGGGTCGTTGGCGCACTGCTCGGGGCATGCTTGCGTCGTCATTGTCGTGACTGGGTTGGGCCTTGCGCTTTCCTGTTTGTTTGAAGTGTCTCGGACGCGGTTCTTCATCATCAAGATCGATCGATTCGAAGTCCAGGCCATCAACATCGTCATCGGAAATCAGCATCGACATTCCAAAGGCCGACTCATCGAAGTTGACATCGCGACTTATCATCACCTGCCCCGCTTCGATGTCATAAACTCGATACGCCTTGGACACTTCTTCGTAGCCCAAAAACAATCCAGCCCGGGCCTTGGGATCCCACTTGAGTCGTTTCTCCTTCGGGGTCAAGGTGTATGCTTGGCACCCAAAAACGCGCATGTGCTTGACACTTGGCTTAGAATTGTAGACAATCTCGAACGGTGTCTTGTGTGGAATCTTGGGTGACGGCAAACGGTTCTTCACATAGACGGCCGTCATTGCCGCTTCAGCCCAGAAGCACTTGTCCAACTTGGCATGATGGAGCATGCTACGACCGATGGTGACGATAGTTCGAATCGCGCGTTCAGCAGTTCCATTGGCTTGATGTGCGTATGGCACCGTGGTTTGTTGCTCGATGCCTTCGACTTCGTAGAAATCTTGAAGCGAGTTCGTCGCAAACTCGCGGGCTCCATCGTGTCGCACAAATTTGACTTTCTTGTTGAACTGCGTCTGTATCATCGTGATGTACTTCTTGATGCACTCTTCGCTCTCTGACTTGGAATGCAGACAAAAACCCTTCATGCATCCGCTGGCTTCATCCACGATCAGCAGCAGATACTTGCTGCCACCCAGATATTTTTCTTCCATGGGTCCGCAGATGTCGAAGTGGAGCATCTCGAAGGTGTTGTAGGTGCGCTTGTCACGGTTGCTCGGGAATGGTTTTTGGACCATCTTCCCTTCTTGGCATCCTCGACACACACTTGATCCATTCGGCTTGGAAGGGATGTGAGCGTCCTTGATCATGTGGCTTGTCACCATCCTGCGAAGCACGTCGACTGGAGCATGGCCCATTCGCGCATGTAGATCAACAGCGTTGCTGAGTGATGTCGCATTGGCCGATCGCTGCGTCGTGCGAAGCCAGTAGAGTCCGTCTACAAGATCCGCAGCTGCCACCACTTGATTGGAATCCTTGCGAGCTACGTACATCGTATCCCCGTCAAACACCACTTGGAAGTTGCCGTGCTTGTTAATCTGCGGCACCGAGAGCAGATTTTTGCTCATGCTGGGCACATAGAGCGCGTTCTTGATCTCGATCTCGCGCTCTTCCCCGTTTGGCAGAATCACCTTTTCCACGATGGTCCCCACACCTTTGATGGCCGCCTTGTTGCCATCAGCCACCAGGATCTCGCCATCATTGCCTTCGACCAAGCTTGCAAACTTGAACTTGTCGTGGCAGATGTGATGTGTTGCCCCGCTGTCAACGGCCCACATTCCTGGTCCATTCTTGTTCGTCGAAACTCCGCATTCGAACGAAACTGCAAACGCCACTCGATCGTAGCTGTTGCCTTCATCATAATGTCGCCACTGGACATTGTTTGCCCCGCGTCCACGACCATTGCCGCCGCGTTGGGCTCCTCGACTTTCATCCTTTTGCTTCGTCCTGATGAACTTTAGACTTCTTGGTCCGAGTGCAAAACGCAAAGTGAATATATATTTATAATAGGTACTTAGTTCGCAACTTTGAATACTACCTCTAAGCCTATTATTCGCAGTGACGTCATCCAGTGACGTCACCCACTGACGTCACCCACTGACGTCATGCAATGACGTCATCCAGTGACGTCATTTCCTGACTTCGCCCTTACTGGTACATACCGGTACCCACCGGTATAGCGAAGCTTGGTCTTCCACTTGCTTCAACACTTGACGCAGCTTGACGAGGTGTCTTCTTCACAGCCGCTGTCTTTTCAACACTCCCTCTCGACTCGTTAGCTGCGGCATCTTGGATCCCAAGTCGATCGCGAATGTTTTCAAATTGTACAGCGGCGATCGGCTTGGTCATCATGTCTGCCAGCATATCTTGAGTCGGGTAATACTCCAAAACGACTTCACCTGATTCCACCTTCTCACGCACAAAATGGTAGCGTATGTCGATGTGTTTTGTTCTCTTATGGAACTCCGGGTTCTTGGCGAGAGCGATTGATCCTTGGTTGTCTTCATACATCTTGATCGCTTCGTCGCTTGTCATCTCACCAAGTTCCCCCAAAAGCACCTTGAGCCATACTGCTTCTTTGGTTGCTTCGGAAAGCGCCATGTATTCTGCTTCTGTTGAAGATAGCGCGACCGTCCGTTGTTTCTGGCTTTTCCAGCTGATGCATCCTCCGCTCATCATGAACACATAGCCGCTTGTACTTCGTCTTGACTCAATGTCGCCGGCCCAGTCTGCGTCGGTGTACCCCGCAGATACGGCTTCCTTCTTCACGTGTAAACTCAAGACCATGATTGGGCGTTGCTTGCAGGTATCTCAGCACACGCTTCAAAGCTTGCCAGTGAGTCGGGCATGGGTCGGACGAGAACTGGGATAATGATCCCACTGCAGCAGCTAGATCCGGACGTGTGGCGACCATGAGATACATGATGCCTCCGACAGCACTTCGATATGGCACGTTGCACATGGTGTCTTCGTGCTTGCATTCTTGTTCACACATGTTCTTGGTTAGCTTCAGGCCGGGATCTTGAGGCGTCTTCACTGGCTTGCTGTTATCCATTCCGAACTTGGTTAACACGGACTTGAGAAACTTGGTTTGTTGTACAGTCACCATTCCCGTCTTACGGTCGTTCTTGATCTCCATGCCGAGAAAGTAATCGAGGCTCACCGAGATCCGTCATTTCGAAGCGTTTGCTCAGCGCCATCTTGGTTGACTTGAGGAGTTCGTTGTTGCTGCTGGCCAGGATGAGATCATCGACGTAGAGCACCACGAGAATCATGTCTTGGTCGTCTCGCTTGATGTAGATGCAGTGGTCCGATTCGCACTTCTTGAATCCCATCTTGATCATGAACCCATCGATTGTTTGGTTCCACATGCGAAGCGATTGCTTCAAGCCGTAGAGTGATCTCTTTAGCTTGCACACATAGTCCGGCTGTGTTGCATCCAGGTATCCGTCCGGCTGGTCCATGTAGATGTCTTCGTTGAGGGAGCCGTTAAGAAACGCTGTCTTGACGTCCATCTGATGTAGCATTAGGCCGTACTTAGCGGCCATACTGAGCACCACACGAATCGATGTGAACTTGGCCACCGGTGCGAAAGTTTCTTCATAGTCAGCTCCGAATTTCTGTGAGAATCCTTTGGCCACAAGTCTTGCCTTGAAACGTTCAACTTCGCCATCTTGATTCTCCTTTACACGAAAAACCCATCGGCACCCGATGGCCTTGCGACCTTTCGGAAGAGGCACGATTTCCCACGTGTCGTTTCTCTGAAGCGAATCGAACTCCGAGTCACACGCTTCTTTCCACTTGCCGGAGTCGCTTGATTCCATCGCCGACTTGAATGTAGTCGGCGTTTCCCCCACTGAATCAACGATGCAGGCTGCTTCAAAATCCATTGCAGCCGCTGACACATGCTCAAGCGACGGACCTCTGTATGTTCTTCGCTTGGGACTTGGAATGACGGTAGCTTTCTCAAGTGATTGAGTGCGCGTGTGTCTCTTGATGTTGCTCTTCGAAGACCTGGTGTCTTCGTTGTCATCGTCGCTCGAGTCCATGTCGTCGTCAGTTTTACCTTCTTCTTTTTCTTCGTCCTCGTCATGATCATCAAACTCAACGACACTTGACTCATCGTTGTAGTTGCGCGGACCTTCATCAAACTTGTCTTCCATGAATGTGGCATCGCGACTGATCTTGATCGCTCCTGTTGACACTTCCTCAAATCGATATGACTTCTGGTGTTCGGCGTATCCCAGGAAACGACAGAGTGATGACTTGGAGTCGAACTTCGCGCGTTTGTCTTGAGGCACTTGAACATACGCGTGGCATCCAAACACTTTAAGGTTGGCCAGAATCGGTTTCTTCATCGTCCACACTTGATATGGAGACTTGTCTTGGTGAATGACACGTGTTGGACAGCGGTTTCGAAGAAACATCGCCGTCATCACTGCTTCACCCCAGTAGCTCTTTCCCAGTCCAGCGTGTTCCATCATGCAACGCGCACACTCGACCAGCGTGCGATTCATTCTCTCAGCTACTCCGTTTAGCTGAGGAGTATATGGGGGTGTGAACCTTTGTTGTATTCCCCGTTCCGCGCAGAATCGTGCCAGCTTGTCGGACTTGTATTCACCCCCATTGTCGCTTTGAAGGTACTTCACGCGCTTTCCGGTTTGCGTTTCGGCCATCGCAGCGTATTCCATGAACTTCGCCGCAACTTCAGATTTGCTCTTGAGCAGATAGACGACACAGTATCTTGACTTGTCATCAATGAATGTCACGAAGTACCGTTTTCCACTGAAAGTTGCCATCGACATCGGTCCGCATACGTCGCTGTGAATCACTTCGAGGAGTTTGGAGGTGCGAGCTGTAGTGTTTGATTGGAAGCGCACTCGAGTCTGTTTTCCCAGAGCACAACCTTCACACACGTCCCACTTCTTCACCGAAGATATGTCGATGCCAATTCCAATGTTCTTCGTCACGATGCAATTGAGTCCATCGTGACCTATGTGGCCAAGCCGAAGGTGCCAGAGGTACGACTTGGTGCCCCCTTGACATCCCGACGACTTGGCTGCATTTGCTTGTTCCGGCGCCACTGGAGTCATTTGCAGCTTGAACAGTCCTTTACCTTCACGGGCACCAATTTTCCACTTGGTCCCTTTCGCTTCTCCATAGCACCCATCCTTCGTGAACGTCACTGGGCCGACATCCTTGGTGAAGCGGCCGACCGAGAACAGGTTTCTGGATAACTTTGGGATGTGCCACACGTTTGTGAGCACACCTTTCTTCATCCCTTGGGGTGTCTTCATTGTTGTAACTTGAGCGCGAGGCGAAGAGAAAACGAAGCGGAGAGACCGGAGAGAACGA